TGCCTTTTAACTATCTTCACCCATTTCGCCTAACACCCCCGCTTTAGGCATTTACAATCTGTGTTCCATATCTATGAGTTTGGATAAATACCGAGAAGTGGGATTGCTGGATCATATGGTAGTTCAGTTTTTAATTTTTGAGGAACCTTCATACTGTTTTACATAGTGGCTGCACCAGTCTGCATTCCCACCAGCAGTGCACCACAGTTCCCTTATCTCTACTTCCTCACCACACTTGTTATCTCTTGTCTTTTTTATGACAGATATGTCATTGTGGTTTTGTTACCATAAAGGGACCAGCCTAGAGCCAGGAGCCAGTCTGCCTCAGGCGGCCTGTAGTGTGTGGGTTCTTTTTTTTAAAAAAATATATTTTATTGACTTTTTTACAGAGAGGAAGGGAGAGGGATAGAGAGTTAGAAACATCAATCAGCTGCCTCCTGCACACCCCCTACTGGGGATGTGCCCGCAGCCAAGGTACATGCCCTTGACCGGAATCGAACCTGGGACCCTTCAGTCCGCAGGCCGACGCTCTATCCACTGAGCCAAACCGGTTAGGGCAACGTGTGAGTTCTTGATGTGCAGGAAAGATTTCATAACATGAGTCCAGGTGACTTTTGGAGTACATGTATTAAAGCTGGGGACAGAGAAACAAGGGCGGGCCTAGGACAGAAGAAGCAACAGGAGAGGCACTAGGTAGGGCTGCATTGGCTCCCTAGGAAGGTTATGGGAAACAAATGAGCTGAGGTGGGGCTGCTGTCAGCTTACTGCAAAGTCAGAGAAAAGGGGGCCTTGGGGACAGGTTTAGGGGGTTAGCCTCGGAGGAGCTGCCGCTGCCCATTGCTGCTCCAGTTGCAAGTCTCCTGGGGACCCTTAGCGTTTAGGAGATGCCTGCCTGTCTGGGAAGAAGGGGAAGGGAAAGGCCCAGAGCCAGGGAGGGAGGGTGTGCCTGGCACTTTCGTTTTGAGAGTTTTTAAAGGCTGGGAGTTTAGGGGAGAGTCTTACTGGAGGATCTCAGTAGAATAGTCATCAGCTTTTCCAGGTGTGTCCTCTCAGGGCCATGATCGTCACTGATTGGTCAGTGTCAGGGCAGGGGAAAAAAAAGAATATAGGTTACACTGGTAGGAAAAAATAAGTCTGGTCACTAATGCAAGAATTATTTGAAAGAATTCAAAAGTGGGAAAAGGAAAAATATCACTGTCCAAATGTCTTACTGTCTTTTCTAGAAAAACCCCATTTAATATATTGATTTGTTCTTTGAAGTATAGAAATCATTGGTTCAAAGTGGAAACTGGCGGCAGGCCTCAAAGCCTTACCGATTTGCTCTTAAAGCTTGGCAAAGTATAAACTTGTTAGTTTAGGCTTTAGTAAATAATGTCCACATGAACACTGAAATTTGGGGGAGGGAGGGCAAAAGATAACTGAGACCGGCACTTATTTTCACCTAAAGAATGTATATGTTTCTCTGATTTCTTTAAAGAAAAGCTATGGAAAAAAATATTTAAAAACACATTTGAAACATGATGAATGTCTTAGAAGTCATGGTGAAGTTTACTCTCTGAACCAGCAGAGAAATAAAAGTGCAACTCAGTAGACAAGCCTTTCTCCAAAATCATTCACTTGATAAATCTTTTTATAATTTCTCATTATACATCTGCCCCTGGTTGCTCTATTTGTGCTACTAAAAAACATGTTACGTACAGTTTTTTGTAAAAACAATTATGTAAATCTTTCCACTTAATTATTTTCATGCTCTGCCTTGGTTTACTACCACCAAATATGGTAGTGATGCCCTGACACAATTTTGATTTGTTAACTTTTCCCTCAATTAGTTGAGGGGCAACTCAAAGTAAGGAATTACTTTTAAAAAATACATACTTTAAACATTTTAACTTAAGATATGTGAATGTTCATTCTTTTGATTGAAAGCTTTGAGTATGTGTAGGGTTTGCTAATTGGCGTTCTTTGGCTTCTTTCTTGCTTGAACCTATATTTGTTATTTCTGGTTTTAGTTTGTTTAAAGTGGAGCAAGTATTTATTCCCTAATTGTAAAATAAGCTCAGCTATACCTAAATCACAGGTAGTTTTCTTATCGTGTGATTTCCCTTTCACTAATTTTCTTAAACATTCAACTTAGTTTTCATAAAGACAGCAGTTCTTTTCTTTACTCATAATTTATCATTTATGTAATCATTAAACTACGTCATTACAATAATGAGGTCACCTGGCAAAAAATACGTTTAGAAACAGAGATTGTGAGCAGACAGTTCACTTGGGAACAGGGGCCCTCAGGTAGAGCATTCCTCTGGCTGCAAGGGTTCAACTCGGAGCATTAATCTGAATGTTTTACTGGGGCAATGGAGAGATGAGTTGAGTTTCTACTAAATTGCATCTACTAAATTGAGGAGCAAACTCTTCATGCACAATCAGTCGTCACTTGTACAAGTAAGAGCACAGATTCTCAGCTGACTTTACAGGATAATTCGTTGAGCGTTATTTTATTTGCTGAAAACCTATTTTCAGCCTAATCCTTAATCATTTTTATCTTCCCAAGAAAGTTACCTTGAATGAGTAATTAATTGCAGCAAGTACTATTTAGCTTGTTTAGGGCTTTGTTTCCTTAGATTCTTTTTTCTCAAGGTCAGTATTAGTGCAAAATCTATAGCTGTCAGAATTAAAAACTTCTGAAGAAACTGTAGATCATTGCCTCATTTTTCTTTTCTTTTTTAACTTTATTTTTGTTGTTGACACTATTACAGATATCCCCGTTTTCCCACTTCCACCCAGCCCCGACCCCCTTCCCTCTGGCACCCACCACACTGTTGTTTGTATCTGTGGGCTATGCATTTATGTCCTTTGACTTCTTAGTTTCTTTCATCAGTTTTGATATACATTATTTTAATATGCAGTTTGGTAATAATATTTTTTTACAAATTGGGCACCTATTTTTTATCCTGTATTTTCTGTTTTCATTTGATTTGCTTTCTACAACTTAATGCATACCAGCTGCATCTTCAGAAATATATGTGGCTAGTTCACAGTTTCTGGTCTCATGGCATAGGGCTATATTAGCCTTATCACTAAGCGCTTGATCTGGTTATTTGAGAGTGTTTACATAAGAAGACATGATCATGTGCACAGGTGTGCTGCTGTCTAGGCTGGTCTGTGCACTTAGCATGAAGTTTTATAGCATGAAGCTCTATGGAAACACTGGTGAAATAGGGCACATCTTCATATATGCACACTTTGAATAATTATAAAGGGAGTATTTATTAAAATATATTTCATTTTCAAAATGTAATATCTATGGGCATTGTGTGTATACATATTTTGGGGGGAATATATACATATATATATATATATCTTGAGCACTCTCAATTACTTAAGAGATACATTGGTCCAGGAGGAAGACATACAAACCATGGCTCAGATCTCCTTCTTATCCTTTCATAAATGCATGACTTTAAGGAAGTTGAAGTCAGTTAACTTCCCAGAATATTCATTGTTTCCTCCTGTAAGGACATTGCTTGACTCATGGTCGGTGCTCAATAATGCTCCAAAATTCTTATAATTTCTAGTTCCTACCTGTTACTTTACACTTCTGCCTTTGCTTATGTTATTCTCTTATTTCCCCGCTCTGGTGTCCCTCTGATTCATCTGACTAATTCATCTTCAAACTTGAAGATGTTGTTCCCCTCAGAGGCCTTTCTGTTACTCCTCTTTCTTTCTTCAACACTGTACATTCTTTTCTTTTTTTTTAAATATATTTTATTGATTTTTTACAGAGAGATGAAGGGAGAGAGATAGAGAGCTAGAAACATCAATGAGAGAGAAACATCGATCAGCTGCCTCCTGCACATCTCCCACTGGGCATGTGCCCACAACCCAGGTACATGCCCTTGACTGGAATCGAACCCGGGACCCTCCAGTCCGCAGGCCGATGCTCTATCCACTGAGCCACACCGGTTTCGGCAACACTGTACATTCTTGTTGCCTTTGCATAGATGTATCCCTCTGCCTGGATATATCACCAACTCCGTTTTCACATGGCAAATTCAGTTAATTTTCACCTTTCCACTCAAGTGTCATTTTTCCTTGAAGCAATAGCTGACTCCATTATAGACTCAAATTTTCCTTCCTCAGTGTACCCCAGTTCTGTGTATCATTTGTCTGGTCATCATTTAGTTTCATGGCTCTTTACTTTTTAAAAGTATAAATTCCTCGAGGGTGGGCATCAAGTCTTTATTTTCCCAGGGTGCCTGCCACATAGTATGTGCTTATTAAATGTCTGTTAAACTGAATGAATCCATAAAACAGAATAGTAATGTATGCCTTTAATATATCACAAGTTTGTTGTTAGGCAAAGTAATGCATTGTTAAGACTTTGTAAAATTAAATACTAAAAATATATTTTCCTTGCCTTGTCAAACAGTTGTTTGCTATAAAATGCTTTATGATTAGGTCATGGATCTGGGGGCCAGCTTCCTTACATCTTTTTTGGATCGTGAATACCTTTGAAATTTGAAATTTGACAGAATTTGAAGGGTCTTCTAGGGTTGGGGGAGGGCTGAGAATTCACCTATATAGAGCATTTGGCACACTGCAAGGTTCACATATCTGAATTTCATCACATTCTGGTTCATGAAAACCAGGTTGAGGATCTCTTCTACAGTTTACTTTATACTAAGTTAAAAAAATTATTGTTCTAAATGTTCAAGATAGGTCTGGAGGTAGAAAGGAGCTTAGTTAAACCTCTAGGCTCAAAGGAAACTTAAAATGAGGCAGAATGACTGAATGTTCTTAAGGGATGTTTATTATGAAAGTGAATTAAAATATCAACTTTAAGAAGCAGAGACACTAACTTGAATTGTGGGAAATTCTGGCAAAAACTCGGTACAGTTTTTTCAACCAAGTACTTAAGAGTCTGAGTTTTCAGCAGAAACAGTTGATATGGGAGGGGGCAAAAACCCTGTTGTAAAATCTTGTTTTTCCTCTTTGAACAGGAGACATCTAAACTGGATACAATGGGCTTCCCTCGTCATTCTATTTTTGTGTATTGTGGCCCTTACTGCTGGGACCAAAACGTCGCAGCATAACCTAGCAGGACATGGATTTCACCACGACGCCTTCTTCAGCCCATCCAATTCCTGCCTTGTTTTCAGAAGTGAGTGTCCCAGAAAAGACAATTGCACAGCGAAGGAGTGGACTTTTTCTGACTCTAAGTGGAATGCCACAGTCAGGGTTTTCAGTCACATTCGTCTCGGCTTGGGCCATGTCCTTATTATAGTCCAGTGTTTTACTTCTTCAATGGCTAATATCTATAGTGAAAAGATATTGAAGGAGGGGAAGCAGCTCACTGAAAATATCTTCATACAGAACAGCAAACTCTATTTCTTTGGCATTCTTTTTAATGGGCTTACCCTGGGCCTTCAGAGCAGTAAACGTGATCAGATTAAGAACTGTGGGTTTTTCTATGGCCACAATGCGTTTTCACTAGCCCTTATTTTTGTAACTGCATTCCAGGGCCTCTCGGTGGCTTTTATTCTGAAGTTTTTGGATAACATGTTCCATGTCTTGATGGCCCAGGTCACCACTGTCATTATCACAACAGTGTCTGTCCTGGTCTTTGACTTCAGGCCCTCTTTGGAGTTTTTCTTAGAAGCCCCATCAGCTCTTCTGGCTGTGTTCATTTATAATGCCAGCAAGTCCCAAGATATGGAATATCGACCTAGGCAAGAAAGGATCCGAGATCTACGTGGCCATCTTTGGGAGCGCTCTAGTGGGGTAAGTTTGGGAAGATACTACTGTCTGCTTGTTCTTTCCAAATTCAAAGGATGGTGACACAGGAATAGAAATAGGATCAGTGCTGATTTATCAAAGGATGTATCTGATCTCTTGACTTTAAAAAATTATTCAACAAACATTTTTTGGTCTCTTTATGTGTATGCAAGGGCTCATGATAATGCTGTCACAGGTCCAAAAAAAATATAAATCACACTCTCAAGGACCTTATGCACTAGTTGTATTAGAATATGATAGAGTCACGGAACTGGAAAGTGCCTCCCAGATCACCTTGTACAGTCTCCCTAATTGTACAAGTGAAGAAGCAAAACTCAGGCTAAATGCGATATTAAGTGAAAGACCTGGTACTAAACCCATGAGGTCTGACTCCTCCTTCATTACTCTTTCCACTCCACCATTCTTGGGGAAATAAGCCTCCTTCATAAGAAAAGTTCAACATTAGTAAGTCTTACAAAATAAAAGTAGAAAACCTGGCTCCTTAATTTTCCCTGTAGTTTTTCATAAACCACCATGTGCCAGATAGGCAGACATTGTTTATCTCACGAAGGCGGCGATTTTCAAAAGGAACCTATAAGAGAAAAAATTTTCTAGAAAAATACTTGTGCAGTTATTCTGAGTATTATTTTGCTAGTTGCTTATTGTTTTAGGAGGGTCTTTCAGTCATGTTATTAGCAAATTACAAATTACATTAGCAAATTACATGTTCTTAGCAAATTTTGGAAACTCAAGTAAGGAGTTAAATATTTGTTAAAAATAAAAGGTGAAATAGACTCATCAATCTTGTTTTAAATTTACAATTTTCATGAACACTAAATATTAAATACTTTATGCAGTGAACATTTCATTGGAAAAATTAATCTCTCTTATTTGAGTTCGTGGTGGCGCTTTCTTCAGTATTGCTTCTGAAGTGGTGATACAACAGGTTCCCCGGATAAAAAAATTAGAATCTTGGGTCCCAAATGCCCTCATATCAGCCAGAATATAGATTCAAAAGTGTCCTTTTCCAATGGTCTGATAACACTCTTTGTGGTACTTTTAAGGTAAAAGAATATCAGTTTAGGTAACAAGTCCTGGTTTGTATCTTTCTCCAATCTTTAGTCATTTGCCTTCAAGACCAGCAGAGGGTGCTCCTACTATGTTCAGATTAACTGAAATTCAAGTACTGAGTTTTATTTCAGTTTTTCATGGTCTATTATACATCTACAATTAACTTTCCAAAAACTTCAGTATTTATTTAATTTCCTTTGACCATATTATATGAAATAAAATCCGTGATTTCTGAGTGAGCTTTCTTCTTGGTAATCATTAAAAACACTACATTTCTACTTTTGTTTTAATTAATGACTGATTTTATGTTTCCTTTTAGGATGGAGAAGAACTGGAAAGACTTACCAAACCCAAGAATGCCATTGAGTCAGATGAAGATACTTTCTAATTGGTACTCAAATAGGTGGCAGGTCTCACAACCTTGTTTTCACATTTTCTGCATGTGTAATATTTATCTTTTCACTTTGATAAACTTGATAAACCAAGACTGTTTCCAAAGTAAAATGCCCTTTGCATATATCTAACTACTCCCTAAACAGTTTTCTCCGAGGCTTAGAATAGTCAAAGGCCAGAAAGGTCTAAGGAACTGACATGAGAGTAATAGTATGGAAACTGCATTAATGGCCTGGAACTTGATAAATCAATAAGATATATTCACAGATTATTTTCCTTGTTGTCCACGGTTTCAAAAACCTTGTAATAATCATAGCAGCTGTGCTCGATAAATACATAAACACCGATCAGTTTGCCAGATATTAATAATTATGTAATCCTATTCTATTGCCAAAGTCATCCCCTTTTTTATCATTATGAACATCACCTTGAATTTTGAGGCCCTTGAAGCTACACATTTTGCAATTAAAAAGCAACATGACTCTTTCTAAAAAAATTCGTTGAAAGACTGCCATTTGGCTACAACATTGATTTGAGTTTAATGTAGTCTATGCTAAATGTTTTACCAAAGAAGCAATTTTTCAGAAACAAAATCTCAGAATTTTAATGTTTAGGAATTCATAGGGAATTTGATTTTTAGCGATGATCTTTTTTTATATTCTACACAAATAAGCTTCAATTTAGGTGAAAATTGATTCCTAGTCACCAGTTATCACTTGTATTTTAAATCACTTAAGCCACGTGTTGTGTTTTTTCCCCTTAGATTGACCTTATTATTCTTGGATTATTATATTTTGAAGAACTAAGAAGAAGCCAGAAGTTAAGATAATTATATATCGTATCCACTTCCTCAGAGTGGAGATACTGGCTTCAGAACCATACCAGATAAGAGTTCCTTTGAAAAGGGTTACTTTGCAGACAAATGATTTTTGCTGAAATATGAATAGTATTACTTTAAAAAGAGGAAGGCCAATAATAAAGCATTTTATAGTAATAATATTTCACATTTCAAGTGCATGTTATTTTTCAACATTTTTGCATGCATCCAATTGACTCTGAGGTAGTGATAGATAATTTAAAAAAATAAGAAACAAATGACTTGCCCACGGGCATGCAGCTGTATGGTGATGGCATAAAAGTTATCTTTAGCTAAAATGCCATTGTGTTTACAGAACCAGACACTGAATGTGAACCTTACAGTGTCATTTTCATGCGGTCGATTCATCTCTTCTTTCCCCTAATTTTTATACAGATGAACATAAGGTAATACTATTACATAATCCATTTGTGATGTGTAGAATAATATGACTGGCAAGAGTTGGAAATTTATAAATAAAATAATTATTAAACCTATGTCTTGTGTTGCCACTCTGTCATGTGAGGTGGGATGCAGAGTACTTTTAATTTCAAAAAATGGAGTGAGGCAGAGACCCAAACGACTTTTAAAACTTTCTCTTTCAGTATATCTTGACTTCAGAAAATAGAAAAATTGTTCACCTTATCATATGCCTTCCCATCAGAGTTGTAGAACAGGAAGATTACATTATTATAACAACTGTAGAAGCAAGAGAAATCAGGTATAGGAAGACCTCACTTTAAGGAAATAAAGCATACAAAAACATTTATCATATGAAATAGATAAAATTACAATATTTATTTGCAAAGGTATTGCCTACAGAATATATTACATAAAATATTCCACTAATTCTGGAGCTTGATTTTCTCATTTACAATTACTTTTTTCACCCATTTTTTCATAAAGTGTTGCCCAAAGTGTAAACATACCGATTAATAAGAGACAGAGAAAGAGCTGGAGCTGAAATGTGAAGTTCTGATGTGGGTACTTTTCAGGAGTACTTAGTGAGCACTACTGGTTTAAAAGGAGAACAACTGGAAGGTGAGAGGTCTAGAAACCATATCCATTTCAGGTGCTCTTGGTGTCAAGTGTGTAACCTAGAGAGAACAATTGTCGTGTGGAGAAAATAGATTTCTTTCCTATTCTAAAGAACCAAACTACAGTGAAAGTTACAGGGTAATGGTTCTTCTTTCCTTATATGGAAGACTTCCTGACAAATGATACTTTTCAACAGAAAAAGCCTTCCTGAAGAGAGTAATAAATTCTCTCACTGAATTTTTTTAGGGAAAGATTGTGTCATTAAACTGTTTTAGGAGACATCCTTCTTGGTATAGAAGTTGGAATGATTTCTAATGTCCCTTCCTATTTTTAGATTCTCGTCTAAGTTTAAGACCTACAATTAATGTACTAAATCTGCTTCCTTCATAGTTTCTGAATAGCCTTTGGTTGGTTCACAAGTGTGGCCTGCAGTGACCTGGTTCCAGTTCCATCATTGGTCCTAGAACCAACCTTCTGTCCAACAATGTGCCTAATCTTGAGGGAAAGCAGGATGTGGCTGGAAAGGTGGTTTAGACCCAGGGTCCCAAATCCTTGGTCAGCTGCATCCTGCTGCCATAGGTTTTCAAGCTCCATGTGCAGATGAGAGACTCAGGGCAGAATTACTTTCTTTATAACTCCAAGGCAGTTGCCACTGAACCTCCAAGTGGAAGCCCATTGTTTGTGAGCTAGAGTACACTGAAGACCCAGGGCCAACGGGGCAGCTGCTCAACGCAGGAGCTGTGGTTACTTGGCAGCTGCAGTTCTCAGGTGACACACCCGGAACCAGAGAGGAGGGAGCCCGATTCCGGGGTGTGCTACTCGAGAACCACCTTCTTGCAATCGGGGACCCCTCCAGGGATTTTGGAGAGCCAGTTTTGGCCTAATCCCCGCAGGCCAGGCCAAGGGACCCCACCAGTGCACAAATCTGTGCACTGGGCCTCTAGTTTAATTATGTCCTGATCTTTCCCCATAAACGTAACATTCTAGTGTGAAGAAGAGGCAGAGAAAGTCACAGTCAAAGGAAAGAGTGTTGTTTTCCTTCTCTAAAGCCTAAGCAGATTTCCTGAAATCAAGTAATATATATTCCTCCTTGAAAGGAAAAAAAAATATTCTCACAGATCTCAGTGTTGTCCTTTTTTCTACTTTACAGTTATTTAAATTCATACATACATAATAAATACAAACTTCTTGCTTATCGCTTTTATATGAAAACACAAATTTAAAAATAAAATATAAGCAAAGCCCTAAAACTAGTAAATTTTCAATTCAATATGAAATTTAGTGAAGTGATATTTTTCTCACAGTAAATCCTGAACAGACCAAGCAGGACTCCTGTCCTCATTTGCTATTTCACTTGCTTCCAGCCCTATCCTCTTTTTGCCAAGATAACGGAAACCTACTGACATTGCTAGTCATGCATTTAATCCTGCTGGGATTTATCAACCCACGTCCCTAACAATCATGTACGGATGTGGTGTAGGTCAAGCTGCCAAATCCCATTGGCCTCAGTTCCCTGAAAGATTTTAAAACGTCAGCTTTATGTATTCCCTGAAGTTTTGAAAGAACTCACCAATAAAATTGCCTCGGCTTGGTGTTTTTAAAGGAGTATTCCCCCCTTCCCCCTCCCGCCTCCCCACCCCACCCCTTCGCCCCATACACCATTCTCTATTTTCTCCTCATCCTCTTGGTTTACTCTGGATTATTTATCTTTTGCTAAAAAACCACCCAGATTTTCAAATTTATTTGCATAGGAATTTATGAATTATTCTCATAATTCTTTTCATTTTCTCTCTTACTATAGTTATATTTTCTTTGTCATTTTGAATTATGTGTATGGATGGTTTCTATTTGGTTTTTAAAAATAGGTTATTTAGCATTTTCCAATTATCTGAAGTATATTTTCTTTTTCCATTTTATCTACTTGAAATACATTTATTTTCTTTCTTGTTAATGAACATGTTTATAACTAGTAGAAAATTTCCTTGGAGTAAGTACACCTTACACCAATCCTCAAAGACTGTAAAATATAGCAATGTTAATTATTTTCTAACTATTCTGTTTTGAGTAAAGGGTAGTACGGTTGAGGATTTTAGTCATTCTTTTTAAATTTCTAGTTTTCATATACTTGGTTCTATTGTTATGTGCAGATTTTTATATCTTAAAGTTTCTTGTAGTATTTGATATTTATTCCACTTACAGTTCCAGTTTCATTCATTACTAGTAGTTGCTTTTGCATTTTTTAAAATAAACTTAGGAACCTATTTACAAATTATCAACCTAAAAAATTAAAATGCAGTTATTGACTCCTTTTACTCAAAGATGAGGAACTTAGGCTATTGTATGTCCTCTCAACTCTCAGGTTTTCTTTTTCTTTTTTTAAATTGATTTTAGAGAGGAAGGGGGAGGGAGGGATAGAAACATCAATGATGAGAGAGAATCATTGATCGGATGCCTCCTACTCGCCCCCTACTAGGGATCAAGCCTGCAATCTGGTCATGTGCCCTTGACTAGAATCGAACCTGGGACCCTTCAGTCTGCAGACCAACGCTTTATCCACTGAGCCCAAACGGCTAGGGCTCAGGTTTTCTTAATAAGCTCTGAGAATTTTACCCAGGTCTGCTCTCACACTCCTATGTTTTTACGTTACCATCTATGAAATTGGGATGCTTTAAGCCAATGGCATGTTAAAGTAGCTGCTTCCTCTTGGCAATAATGATGAAGTTGTCCTTGCTTGCACATGTAGGCTTTTGGTTTGACTGGATAACTACAAATTCTTAATATTTCATTCAACAAACTACCTAAGAACCATTTCAAAGGATACGAGTATTGGTTGTCTGAAAACCTGTCATTGATACCTCCTGGTAAGATCGAGAACATGTCAGCATCAAATTTTACAAAATGAGTGACAATAGCTTGGAAAAAGTCCCTGGCGACCACAGCAAAACTCACTTAAAAAATGGGACATGGGCCCAGCTGGCGTGGCTCAGTGGTTGAGCGTCAACCTATGAACCAGGAGGTCACAGTTCGATTCCCACTCAGAGCACATGCCCAGGTTGTGGGCTCGACCCCAGTTGCGGGGTGTGCAGGAACAGCCAACGGATGATTCTGTCTGATGGCTGATGTTTCAATCTCTCCCTCTCCCTTCCTCTCTGAAATCAATAAAATATATAGAGAGAAATGAGGCATTGTTCTAACCAGTGTGGCTCAATTTGTTGGGCATTGTCCCTTGAACTTTAAGGTTGCTGGTTCCATTCCTGGTCAAAGCACGCCTGTGTTGCAGGTCCATTCTTGGTAGGGGGCATGCAGGAGGCAGGCAGCCAATTGATATTTCTCTCTCTCCCTCTTCTTCTCTCTAAAAATCAATAAAAATATTTTTTTAAAAAAAGAAATGCTGCAGCATCATCAGTTCTCTCAATGGCACAGAGAACTGTTCTGTGTGGAAAACCTCAGACATCTATGACCCTGCATCAAAAGATTCTAGCTTAAAATGGGTAGATGTTTTGAAATAGCTTAATGTATTTAACTTACAGTTTCCCCTTTTGTGTAATCAAAGAATGCAACATGATATATTAAAGTCTTTAAAAGAATATAAAAATAAAAATTCTAGGTGATAAAAAAAAGTAATGTTTACTTGACCATGCTTTTTTAGTGGGACATAAAATAGTGCTGCCTCTTAGATTTGGTGCTTCCATAGATAAGGTGAAATATGGAAGTTCATTTTTTTAAATGTGTATGTTATATACTTTTTCTTTCAAGAATTAATAGTTTGCCTTTGAGTTTGTGATCCCAATGATCTCAGCTAATTTAACTTAATTTGTTCATGACAATTTCCTCATTTATAACTTTTTAATGCTAAGTTATCTCTCAGCTGGGAGCTGTCTTAAAAATAAATATTTTCTCTTGCCTTAGCTGGTTTGGCTCAGTGGATGGAACGTCACCCTGCAGACTGAAGGGTCCCGGATTCAGTTTGTCACGGGCACGTGCCCAGGTTGTGGGCTCGATCCCCAATGATGTTTCTAGCTTGCCCCCTCCCTTCCTCTCTGAAATAAATAAAAATATATATTTAAAAATCTCTCTATATAAAAGGCTAAGTGTCCATCTGTCCAACTGTTAGCTAAGACACGTACTGTCCACCAAGGTGCAGACGCTCAACGCAGGAGCTGCCGTGATGCATACTGGCCATTTAAAAATAAATGGCACCACAGACCTGGCGCCGACAAACCAACACTCGGGTTCCCCCAAGTGGGCACAGGCTCCGCCACCACCCTGGAGCAACACCCCACCAAATAGCAGCCAATGCTGCCAAGACCCCATGACGCAGAATGCGGCCCACAGCCCAGCCCACCCGGAAATGGTGGCTGTGGGCACCAGGTAATGATGTCACATGGCAACGCCCGGCTTCCTCTCCCTAGCAACTAGCATCCTTGAAGTTTCTTAAACCCCAGAATCCGACTTGCTT